TTAGCCATAATATGTGAATTAAAGGGACACATTAAACTTATCTAAAGTTTGAGTAAATGTCTTTTATCACGTTTTAGTCAACATATTTGCCTGCAACAGTGCATGTACTGAAGGAGAGTTGGATAATATTTCAGATATTTACAAAAAAAAAAGTGTGTTTACGTAGCATCCGTAGTTTATAATAAGTTTGAATTCCCATATGTTCTCATGTGGCTCCTCCATCTGGTTAATTGTATCCCCGGGGGCTCATGATGGTTTACTTTAGCTGCTTTTCTTTGTTACTCATAAATGTCTTTGCTGGATCATTCAGCTAATTAGAAAAGAATACTCACTGTTTCTGTGTTGGTTTATTCTGTGACCTCAGATTAACTAAAACTCTGGAGATGGAAAAACTGAAAAATAGGGCACATTTCCTCAACAGACCGAATGTGAGTGTGCAGTATATTTAGCCTGGCGTGTTGTTGCTTGTGGCCACGTAGAAGAGATTTTCTAAGATTTACAGATGATCTGTGTGTTGTAGCTATGAGGTTCTTTATGTCCTTGCTGTCTCTGCAGGTCTGCGTGTGCTGCTGTTGTCAGGATGCTCCTGGGTGGCGGTCTCTGCTCTTTGCACATCCAGCTGTCCTCTTCTGCGGACTCTGGATGTTCAGTGGGTTGAGGGACTGAAAGACGCCCAGATGAGGGACCTGCTGTCGCCTCCTACAGATAACAGGCCAGGTACCAGCCTCTCACACACCGATCTTAACAGTTTGAGGCTTTTGTGGCTGAATGAGTAGTGGAGTGATAGGAAATGAATGAGAGCTGTGGGTATTGTATGTAATACTTTCAATGCTTTGTGGTTCTTCACTTTAATAGGTGTCAAATCTAAATGCTTTAAAGTAACTGGATTGTTCCACAATGGTGAGATATAAATTCTGAGCTGTCAAGTCATCAGCTGAAAAGCACATAAACATAAAGAACGAGAAGAATTATATTTTATGTCTTTATTGTCGATAAATCCCATGAAAAGACGAGTATTTTTAATACACAACCTCCCCAGTGGCGCTCATTCCAAAACCCAGTGCTTCCTGCCAAAGACATAAATATTTAAAAATGTTTCTCACATATGTAGTTTCATTTTTTTAAAAGGCTAACTTCCTAAAATAACTGGGCACTGTAGTTTTTAGCAAACGCTACTCAAGTAGGAGTAAATAGTGCATTTGTTTGGGACTATTTTCATCCATGGATTAATACGCAATTGGTCCTCAAGTGATTATTTTCAGCAGCAGGACGGTTTATGTGGGATTAACTCAAAATAAACTAGTGTCCATGTTGTTTATCATAATGAAGGAACCCAGTCACCCAGTGCAGCGTGACTTATTATTTTAATAGTTTTTGAACATCAATGGAGGTCTATGTCACTGAGGAATAAGCTGTGTAAGGCTTTGGATACACAGATAATACTTAGAAGGATCATTTAATTGTTGGCGTAGGTCTTCTCATGAGATTTGTTAAATAAGACAAATATAGAATATCACCAGATTTCCTTTGATTTTATATAAAGTGAAATAAACTGCAAAATAGCACCTTTAGCATGATTTTGTCTCAAACATCTGGCTTCTTGCACAAGGCTAATTAATGTGGTCAGACACATTTGCTATATACGTTCCTCTCATTTTCGCTCCATACCTCCGTTAATCTCCTCTCCCCCCTCTTTTGTAGGTCAGTTAGACAACAGGAGCAAGCTGCGTAATGTGGAGGACCTGCGCCTGGCGGGCTTGGACATCACAGACACGTCTCTGCGCCTCATCATACGTTACATGCCGTCGTTGTCCAAGCTGGACCTCAGCTACTGCAACCACGTCACCGACCAGTCCGTCAACATCCTCACTGCCGCCGGGACGACCACCAGAGACTCGCTCACTGACATCAACCTGTCAGGTAGGAGCCTGTCTTTGTTGGCTGTAAGTCTGCCTGCATTTGACTTGCTCCCCCTAATGGCTAAATTCTGAATTTGTTATATGTATTAAACTATCATGTCTGTCCATATCTGAATTTAATCAATAGATGTAAGATATTTGTCATTAGGTATTTTTTTGCACATTTAATCATAAAGTACATGCTTAGTTTTACATTCTTCCAGACAGTGAGTGCTTTAAGCTGTTTTTGAATGTCGTTTAGTCATATCATTGCCAAATTTGCCAAAAGGACATTTTTTAAAAAACTGTAACGAAATTTGTGTGGAATGTACCATAGTGTAAGAAATAAATCTGAAAGTAAAGTCTAATACAACAATCCTGCATAAACGAGGGTTTTAATGTTCAGTTTTTGTTCAAACTCTTTGAAAGAGGCTGTAGTTTGTTGTTCTATTACAGGCATGAGATTTAAAATCAATTTTTATAGAATTTCATAATTTCATGCCATTTATTGCGAAGTGCACCAATGCTATATTCATTTTATACTTGTTATCTCTCCGGAATACCTTTAAACGTTAGAAGCAGTGAATCAATGAGCCATTATGGTAAAACAGCTGACGGTAAAATTTATTTTTACTTTCTGTTGGAGTCTCCACATTTATCCCAAAAACACTGCTCACCACAATGAGGCCTTTTGGATTTCATGTCCTAGAGTATCCTAAAGCGTCGATTAATCCACGTGTGTCATAGCTTATGTCAGTACAGGTGACCCATTACGCATCATTTGTTCTTTTTCTTCTAACCCTCTTTCTCTCTGCAGTCTGTAACAGGGTCACGGACCAGTCGCTGACCTATTTCAAGCGCTGCGGGAGCATATGTCACATCGACCTGCGATACTGCAAACAGGTGACCAAGGAAGGATGTGACCAGTTCATTGCGGAGATGTCCGTCAGCGTGCAGTTTGAACTCATCGAAGAGAAACTGCTGCAAAAGATCAGTTAAGGCAGAGGAACATGGGAACATTCACAAGTGGTAAAACTACTGTCCACATGGAGGCAGCAGACGACTGTGTGCTTGTGGAGGACGGCCGCTGTGTTTCATGAACATCTGCGGGTGACTAAACAGACACGAGGGCAGCGCCTGTTTCTGTAAAACTGATGTAAAGGGAAACTGTGCTGCTAAAGCCAGAATGTAAAAATGGAAATGTTGTCCCATGAAGGCAATATTGCAAAAATGGTTTTGTTGTTGTTTGCACCTGTTTATAAGTTATTTATTTCTTTATATTGATTGTTTGTGTATTGTATCATGATTATCTTTTTGGTGTTTATAGATTATTTTTTGTTCCAATGCAAAGTTTATTGCATTATAGAGTAATATTTTTGTATCAGAAAGTGTTTCATACATTTATGTGCAGTATTGATTGCACCACTGTACGGTATCATACCATTGAAATTGATAATCAATCGGCATTACTGTTAAGCTCTTTATTGTTGAGAGGCAAAGGTCCAATTATTTGTTGCCAAACTGTAGGAAGGTAGCTTGTGTTTGTGTGGCTGTTTTTTATATTTTATTATATGTGCCAGTGCCCAGTTTCTGATCAGAGAGAAGGTACTGTACATTTTGTTTTCCATATAACGATATCATGTCCCTTTGGATGAGACATGTAGAGGGAAAGTTTAAAGTTATTTGCACTGATACAGTAAATATGAATACATGAATGTATTCACACATACACTATACAGTGTACAGTGTATAAAGCATATTTTTTTCAACACTAAAATGTTCTGCTAATTCTACTAACAGCTTCTAGTTCGGTGGGTTGTATTAAGACCTGCATACACACGTCTCCATCACTCTTTAGTATTATTGGTGCTTTGTGAAAAAAAAGCGTTTTAGCTCTGCATGCAGCAAAGAAATATGTTTACACCACAGTCAATAGATTTAGTAACTGTTGAACAATATAACCATCCGTCATTAGTTACACTCCATACGATTAAAAAAAAAAGAGACTCAGTGCTGAATCATGTAAGAAATAAAGAATCAACAAAGTCCAGGTGTAGGATCTTAAATTTGCAGATATCTTTTAGACAGTTTTCTCCCATATGACAGAAGTGACACGTGTAACTCAGGTTTAATCAGTCAAGAGGCTGAAAGAAAAAGGACTTTCTCTGTTTTCACCCATGACCCTGTTGATACTGTATATTTCTAAATTGTCATGGCCCCAAAACATTTGAGTATAGCAGTGATTGTGTTCTGTTTCTGTTTTATTTAAAACTATATCCAATCAGTATCAGTAAATCTGTCCAGTAAATCCATGTCAGTCTCCAGACATGAGCTTCTGACCGAAAGGTTGAGACCAAATACACTAAATGCAGTGTTTTCTAATGCAGCATGATAGGATCACAGTATAGATCATACTATATGTACATGTCATTCAGCCTGTCTAATTCGAAGAAGCTGCAAACAGACATCTTTCCTGAAAGATTTGTGCAAATATAAAAGTGAAAAATGGATTTTGTTCTTTTTTTCTCAGATTCCACTGAAATATACATTTATTAACACTGGTTGTTTTATTTTTCATGAGTTTAAACATCAAGATAAAGTACATTACAACCATTTTTATGTACGTATTGTTCTTTGGCATTTAATCAGTCATATTTAAAGTTATATAAAAATCTGCATATTTTGCTATTGGAGCTTTCAGACTCAACAGTTTAACGGTTTGATAGGTTTCCGTTTTTTCTTGAAAACTGAACTTTTTTAGAAATAAAGTCTTTAAAGGTTTTTTGTGTAACTTTTGAATAGATACGGTTCAGTGGATGGGTTTACATTTAATTTTGTTTTTGTTTTTTATTAAACAACCATGTCTCCATGAAATATTTTAGTACATCACTGTAAATGTTCAATCTGTACATAATGTACATGTAAAGCTTCTAGGAAAAGTTAAGTCAACCTTTGAGATATTAAATTCATTTTAAATACAGAGCTGGGTGTGCATTTGGTCCATTGATTTTTTTTTTAAAGTATAAATAAGAAATAAGATTATGTTCATACGGCAATAATTCTGTTATTAGATTTATATTATTATTAATAAGTGATTTACTGTATGCCAATCACTAAGTTGGCTGTAAGCGACAGATGACCGATTACAAAATGAAAAGCAGGGTTTTTCTTTCTGGTTTGTAGTACTGCATTTTATTGAATCTAATAAATCATTTTCTCTTGTTTACCAAAATAAAAAGGTTCAACATTCCCAAAATATAAAGATCCAGGATTATGAGTGCTCATGATAATCTACTGCTCTGATACTGTAGCTGCCTATGAATGACATCTTTGAGAAACAGCAGCATCAACAAACAGACTTACAGAGTTACAGTGTTTGTTACAGTGCATGGTGTCAGTGTCGGTTTTTTGGATCTGAAGCAGACGCGACAAAAAGTGCTAGAAAGAGACCATGACTGACGCAACTTTAATGGTGAGAGAGTGACACAATCAGAGGACTGAGGAACTCGTCTGACCAAAACCAACAGAAATACATTCTGAAAAACTGTATATTTTTTATTTTTAAACCTCCGTAATAAGTAGAATTTTAAATCATGTCGTCTCCCAAGTAAAATGGAAAAATATACATTTAATGACTCAGTAAACAACCATATAAGCTATCTATGCGATTAACTTCATTAACAGCAATTCAGCTTTTTTTTTTAAAACATACCACAGGCATACTGTACACAGATATTTTAGTGACATCTGGATCTCATGACAAGAAAAACAAAGTGTTTCATTTGCATAACAGGTTAAAGTAAACCAGGCTTCCTCTACCTCTCACTGTGTGATGGATATTTGGAAGGACGCCTCGACAACATGACAATGGTATGTTGAAGTTACAGAAAAGAGGAAGTAGCACCTGTTACCTACCTAAGATTCGACACATTAACGGACAACACAGTCAAAGAAAGACACTTGGTAGACTTGGAAACTAAATGGTATTGCTTGGTGGAAGTTATTTTAAATCAAATAGAAAATAGTACAAAAAAATGTTTTAACTCAAAGTCCACTTATTAGCTGGAGCTTTCAGCTGCATCCAGTGGTCTTCCTCAGGAGAAGGATGAGGCCATTCACATTCATATATATGTATATTCATATACATATTCACCTTAGGTCACGTGATGTAAGTTGACCCATCTCCACGAAAACTGAGCTGATGAAGCCTCAAAAATGTGGCTGAAACCCCCTGGAAATAAAATGTAGTAAGTGGGCCTTGAGTTCATTTTTCCCCCCTTTTTTTGTCAAACTGCTGTTTTTTACTGTTCGTGTCTTCGGCAGGAATCACTTTATTTTAGATGAGAAAATCACATCCTTCACACAAGTAAGTGTTTAAATGTTTACGTAATTTCCTAAAGTTAATTTGGGAAAACTGGAAGAAAAAAAAATATAGTAAACTATCACACCAAGCTTGCTGGTTATGAGATGCATATACTGTGAAATCTTAACCAAATATCGATTGAAGGCATGACGTTTGGCACCTTACACCCTCCTGTGTTTGAGACGACTCGGTGCACGTGGTGTTCGGATTAACTAATAAACATTTTCTAGAAACACAAGTAAGTCTCTTTTTTTTTGATATTGCACATCCTAAAGAACACTGAGGGAGATAACACTGTGTCATGTGGCATGACTGTGTAAACCATATTGACTCTAAACCCTGGGATCTTATATTTTTCATCCAACTGCTTCTCTCCCCCACACACAACAACCCTATCCACTTCAAGTATCTGTGGGACCACCTCCACTCCTCTCCTGTGAGTAAAATCTAAACAGAGAACAAGAGAGTAGAAAGTGATGGCAGGGGGCTCTGCTTTGTGTTTAATAGAAACAAACAGAGAAAGAGTGAGTGTCCCAGTGCAGCTGATGATGGTCCACCAGGGAGGAAAAGTGGGACTGGAACATGAGTTAGTAAAGGAGGGCGAGAGGGTGGGGTGGGGGCAAACCGTGGTAGGCAAGAGGCAACAGTCTGGTTCCAAAGACCGGGGAAGTTGCTCGCGCCTGCTGCAGCATTAGGCCCTGCGAGACGTCATGCACAGCAGTTCATCCTCAGTGATAACTACAGGGCTCGGGGCAACGTGCACGCCTGAGGGCCGCTCTGACGCGCACGCACAGAGTTTTTAAGACTTGAAGACGTGCACGGCCCGCACTACGTACTGCCTGCAGATGGGGCACTCGCTCATCCTCTTCCCGCATTTGGTGCAGGTTACCATGTGACCACACTCCAGTAGCACACAGTCGATGATGGCGTCCATGCAGATGCGACACAAGTTTTCATCGGCCGCCAGCTGAGCTTTGACACCATCTGCGGAGGGAAATACGAACCGTTATCTTTCAGTTACAATGGTTCTCTGCAGGCTCATTAAACTGTACGGAGTTCAGTGACGTTGTACAGATGCTGTACTTAAGCTACTGCAGTCTGAGAGTAACAAACACAACCACATCAGTCACCACTGTTCAGTCATTTTCAGTAGATCATCTCCTTCCAACGCTCCAGCAGGTTTTTTATCGGTTAATAAAATGTTCCCATTCCCAAACCTGATGAATTCCACACCCGTTGTGTAAAAATGCTTTGCTAAATGTTCCGTTTAGTTGCACAACTTGCACACGTGAGATGGGAACAGTTGGGTGTCACTTCTAAAAGTGATCAGTTAGTGATAACACCGTTGAGGTAGTTCAAAACTGGCTAATCTGAACAATTTAAACCATATGATCCACATGATTCCCTTTCATTCAGTGGAAATATTAACTGCACAAACCAATAAAGGGTGAAAATCATCCACTAGATGGGAAAAACTATATTTGGCACAGGGGTGGTGATGGGCTCCCTTGTCTTTTTGTTTTAATCACTGAATTTGAATTATTCATCTTTTTTAGGATTAGAGTAATTAGAACAAGAAACTATATTTTCAAAAATAATAATTGTAATAAAAAATAAAGATATTTGTCCTCCCCTGAGGCGGGAAAAAAAGGAAAAACATTTACTACTATGTTTATTTGTTCATAATAAGTGATCTTTCACTTTTATTGTAATTAGTTGCTACCAAATAAACAACATAAACCCATCACTGAAGCAAATGATGCCAGTGCACTGCTTTACAGGAGTTAAATGCCTGATTGCTGACTGATGGCTCACTGGCCTAATTCTGGCTCTTGCTGCTCACATCTTGTGCGAAGGGGAAACAACCGATCCATCTGCAGCCTGTCTGCCGTCCCTTCACGTCTGACTATTAAGTGGGCTAATATGATCCTCAAGTCCTTTATGTCAACAAGAGAGCCTCTAGGAAGCTTGACAATGTAATTACACCTGATGGAGACATGCTGCCACTGAGGTAATATGATGGCTCATCAAGAGGTAAAAGCTCTTAGAGTGCATTAATAAGAGGATGAGAGGCTGTCCTTCAGAATAAAACGAGATGATGCACAGTGGAAAAGAAACAGGAGTGACAGAATGTGGAGACACTGAATCAGGCAGGAGATAATGACTCAATTGACCATAATGTAATATGTAGGATGATATAAAGGATCAAGTGGGTAAAAATGCTCCAGCATGCCTTTACTCTTTACTGCCATCACATGATCGGTGCAATGTACATTATGAGTTCATGGAGGAGATGGAAAGGGAGCCGTGAAGGGGCTTTTTATACAAACATCTTACCTCCAACTCCACTGTTGCAGAGAGGTGGAGGATATGCAACCACTTGTATAGATAAGAATGGGCAGTAATAAAGAAAATCTATTAGTTAAACAGTGAATTTACCCTAAAAACAATGTTGAAGTAGCATTTAAATCAAACAGGGGGAAGCAAACTGCATTTAGACTTAATGTGTTATGTTCATACCAAAAGGCAATGTCATATTTTAAACCTAGGAAATATGATAATCAAACAATAATTACCTGCAGTTATGCTCACATTTTCCACTAAAAGAAAACGAGAAAAAAGGGTATATTTTATCATGCAGAACATCAAAAATCAAAATTAAGATGCAAAACCAAAGAAATGTTCAATCAAAAGCTCTTACTGGATTTCCTGTTCTGCTGATTCTCTCTGTAGAGCCGATGCACTCGCTCCAGCAGCTCCCACTTCTCGCAGCAGCCAGAGTAATTGACAAAGTTCCTGGCAAGAATCTCTTTCAGCTGGCGGACTGAGAGGTTTTCTATCGCCTCTTCATTGTCCAGATCAGACAGCGAGGCCCTGATCCTCCTCTGTGTCGCCGGACTGACCTACAATCCACAGGGGACACAGTGCTGTGGTCAATAACACGGTCTTCATTCCCTGAAAGCCTTCTCAGTCCACAATATTTTTTGTTTTCTATTAATACACTATTAATTACTTTACATGTGCAAAACAAAACAAGTGGTGTACCTCTAAGATATTTTCAGTGGGTTCCAGGTTCAAGAGAGATGCTGTTGGCGTGTCCTCATGCTCCTGTTTAAGAAGAAGTTCATTAAATAAGTTAAATTCACAGCATTTCACTCACTGAGCAGCCTATTGAAACAAATTGCGTCTTACTGTTCAGTCACCAAATATCAAATTACTCCACTTAAAGTCAAATGACGAGTAGAAATATGAAGTTAAAATTCCCTTCCACCTAAAAATATCTTTCTCTTCTTGTTCCTACAGTCAGATGTTTGAGCTCCACTGTGCAGAGTTTGACACTAGAAGGATGTTTTCGTATTTAAGGGGCGGGGCCTGCGAGCATGATTTGTGATCTGTGAATCTAATCCAATGAAAGAACAGAGATGTTTAAACAGTGACTCGGCTGCTCTTAACTCAGCGGTTATTATTCTCTTTGAAGGTGGAGGTCAGGAATTTGCCGGATGAAAGGATAATAAATAGAGCTAGAGAATAGTTGGCATGAGTGTATAGCTCTGTATTATCTGAGCCATTTATCTGCTTTGAAGGGAAGATATCGTCTCTTTATTCTTTTTAATCATCTCGACAAAAGGGAGCATGTGAAGGGCTGAAATAAGCTCGAACTGTGTGATACCATGCCGTCTCCTTAAAAAGCTCTGCTGTATTTTCTCCCTGCTTCAGCACATTCCAGCAGACCACCATCTTCCTCAAATGAAGACGTGTTAATAATGCATCCATCAGCGTCATGGTGCTAGATGCCTGCTCTCCCTCCTCAGAGACAAAAAACAGGAGCAGCAGCCCCGACACGCTCTCAGTGCCAAACCTCTCTGGAGCACAAAGTTTCTCTGACTGGATGTTAGATCTCATTCAACCATTTCTAACATGTGAAAGTACTAGAAAGCACTCAAAGAGCTGTACAAGCTCCTGAATTTGTTATTTAAATCATAGAAATAGTTAATAAATGTTTAATCTGAATTGAAAATATAAACGATGATAAGCAATCAGGGGTTTCTGGTGGTGGATCATGAGAAAATACTGAAAATGCTGACAAAGAAAGACTAATCTTTTGTTAATTTGACTTTATACCAAATATCATTGTAATCT